AAATTCGATTAGCGATGCACCGTCTGCAGCAAGGAACTGCATGGGGATGCCAATGGTGATTTCACCAGATGTTTGCTGCCTCCTGAACTCGAAATTTGCTGCATCACGTAAATCACGTGTGTTTCAAAGTCGCAAAGAGCTTCTCTGTATTTGCCGCCCGAATCTTTATGATTTGGATTAGTAAACCGAATTTTACTGTGATACATCTTTCCCCATGGGGTGACGTCAGAGTTACCTAACCACATGGTAGTTTGAACGTGCACCCTTTCGTTCCTCTTCTCGGTCGAGGGTAATTCTGACTAGGTGTGTTCACCGCCACCCAGTTACACCCGGAACCGAATGATCCTCTTCCCTCTCTCTCTCTCTCTATCTCTTGAATATCCTGTCTCAGGTATGATGAATACAATCTTTTTTCGTCCGCGTTAAAAGTCAACGGGAACAACGCGAAAATGTGGAACAACGTTGGTCACGCACTGGAAGCTGAGGGCCGATTCGAGGAGGCGCTGGGCTATTTCCGGAAAGCGGTCAAGTACATTGGCTCCGTTGGAATTTATGCATGAATTTTTACACCGTTCTTTAAGCTGTTAAAAGCACAGGTCAACTGTCTACTGGGAGCAGTTGCAACCACACAATGACCCATTACTTCAAAACATGTTAGGTCAATTGAGATTGGTATATTGGTTCATATAATTATTATTCATGCAATTAGCATTCGCATGTCTGTGTTGGTGATAAGTGAAGGAAGTTTAAGGATGCTTCATATAAAATCTTTTCTCTGCCGCCTCTCTCTCTTCAGTGTCCAGCCAAACGATATCGGAGCTCGGATCAATGTCGGTCGAACTTATGTGAACCTGCGTATGCCTGAAAAGGCAGAAGAAGCATATTTCGGTGCTCTAGATTATTTTCCCAAACCCCGTAAAGGTGAGTTTAGAGGGAGAAAGGGTTCAAAGATGATCGGTTTTTATCAGAAGGTTAGGTTAGCTCCATTAATTACGCAGTCCACTTAGTGACTGCGTCATAGTTTGGTCAATCTCTTTTTCAACATGGGTGGTCATAAGAGAAGCAAAATGGGAAATAAAACGTCGCTGAAGAGAACTGGATATGATTTATACTATCTAAGGTCCTCAGTTTTATCGTTCCAATATTTTTATGATTATTTACAACTTAAGTACCCATCTACTACATGAGTTAGGCATGCGGTTTTTGTTCCAATAACATGAGACAAAGCGGGTTCGCTTATTAAAACACCACACTACCTTGATTGTCAGTACATAGGACCGGTTACTCCAGAAAGTGTCCAAATGATTTTTCGATCGATCTACGGGATTCGAAATTTCACCGGTTCTGGCGGTAATTTGAGTGTGCTTCTTGTACACCTCTGATATTTGCTGGGTTTCCTTATCTGACCTTTTGTATGGTAATTTTAACTGCCGAGAAGTGTCAGGAATTGTGGAATTATAACCACGAGGTTTAACCTCAGGTTCGTAACCACGGCGGAATTTTATTTACCTAAATTGACTACTGACAAGCATATAAGTAGTTAGTTTTTGAATGCAGTCCTTGTACCCAGCAATTATTTCGGTGTACATGTATAGGAAAACCGTAAAATATTTCATTGATGGGGAAGGAATTCAACAAAACTTATGCATCGTCAGTTACCAGAAATGATGTTAAAGCGTTGATAATCACATTTAAATCTACAATACCGGTAACGCAAGGGACATCCACGACAAATGACGGGTGAATGTAGTATGTTCAAAGGGGAAGTCCTCAAACTACCATCAGGGGAATTACTTAGGACTGCAACGTCACAGTATTCTGCACTGATGATATTAAAAGAAAGCAGCTTACTTAAATTCAGCTACAAGATCTTCTTTCCAATGATTCCGATCGCCGAAGGGATTTTGCTCATGGCTTTCGATTATGAATTTAACTGGAGTTGGATAGGCGGAAGAGGATCAAAAGAATGGTCTCCAAAATCACCTGTTCTGTTCCTTTAGATTTTTCGTGGAGATATCAAAAGCGCATAGTTTATTCCAGAATACTGAGAACGATGTCTTCGTAGCGTAATCTTTCCGTTTTGAATTACCCGGATGGTGTATCGCACCATAACTAATTCCTGCTCCGATTTTCTGGCAACGCTTGAGCAGCATAAGATTCATAACTTATCCTCCTGTGCGGGTCCGACAGTCACACAACCGATCGGGTTCATTCAGTGATCAGCCGGATGATTCAGCTGCTACTAGGGACGTGATGCATACCCAGGTAACCCGAGCCCAAACCCACCCCTTGTCTACAGCCTCAGGCTTTGGTTAGTCCCGGTGAATTTCGGCCATGCACAGCAGGAGTGCCATCATGACATGACTGAACAACAGGTGGAAACAAGAGCATCAAACAGTCTCGTGTTAGGTTGAAGGATTCGTGTATATAGCAAATGAAGCGTGAACTGCAAAGCTCGGAAGCACTGGTCAGCTGTTTCAACCTGGTTGGGTCTCATCAACAGCGAATTCATCGATGCAACGAGGGATTGAATCCGGGACCTCAAAGGCAAAACCCAAGCATGCTACCCACTCGACGACAAATTCCCTCTCAGAAATTGAATCAAATCCTCCATTGCTCTCCTGCAACAAGGTCGTGAAAATTTCCAACCGAGTCATAACCCCGGAGGCTAGTACTGAGATGACCGATGTCCGTGGCTTGCAGTAAGCTCGCAAAGATGGGTTGTGCTATATTGTGTAAATGGAAAATTAAAAAGACTGTCTAGTCAGCTGCCTGGTGGCCGAGTGGGTAGCATGCTTGCGTTATCTGTGAGGTCCCGGGTTCGATCCCCGGTTGGGTCGATTTATTCGCAGTGCTGATGAGACCCATTCAGGTCGAAATAATTGTCCACTGCTTGCGACCTTTTCAGTTCGCGCTTCATTTGCTATATACGCGACGAATTCCCCTTTGAAATTGAATCAAATCCTCCAGTACTCACATGAAATTTACAATGTCTTCAAAAGTAATGCTTCTCAATAAGTAAACCGGGCGCTCTATATTGAATTCGAGACATTGAAAAAGGAGGGTAGCGACAAAGCAGTCCTAAAAGCTAATTCGTATAAGAGCAAACTTGGCCGTGGAGCGGATGAACAAGATGGAAGCTTGCCTGAGCAAACCTGCATTAACACGCGTGCTGCAGTCAAATGCTTTTGTAGATACACTGTAAATTTTGAAAATGTACTGCGTCTAACCTCAACGAATTTCCCACATCCAGATCATAAATAGAGAAATTATCACACTGTTTACGAACACAAGTTACTCATTTGCAAACTATCAGACACTACATAGGCGTTCTCAGATTTTCTGCCTCTTAAAATACTATTCTGTATGCGGTTTGTCTTTCATCTCGCATGCGTATAACATAGAAGATGACAAAACAGAATGGATATAAAGCAAGCTATCTGACTGAATGGAGACGTTGACCATGTAAATTCAAAGAGACCCTAATTCCATTACTCCCTAATAAATCCAATAAGAGCCTTCCGTTTGCACATTTTATGGCCACCATGAACTCACCATTTCAGTGAGCAGCTCTAGTGCCGATACGCCTTTATTCCTTTTGTCGTTGGCTTGCCAAGTAGTAATTTTCAAATCGTGCTCGCTATAAACACAACTTTGCCTAAAAATTGTTTCATCATCGTTCGTTAGCTTTGCATAGTAATTATTGATCGGTCGCTAAAAAGGTTCCCACATGGCTATTTTTCAGTCGATACTTCACTAAATGGCAGAGTGCCAGTACAAGTTAGAACTAACGGTTTTGTTACCATTGTTTATGTTCCAGTGCTATCCTATAATCACCAAATATTCCCATTATTCTGTCAGAGGAGTCTGAGAGTGGCAAAGACAGATCTGTTTTTTCGGTACTTCTCATCAGGCCAATACAGTACATACAATCGAACATGTATAGGCACAACACAGCGTGATAATCCGTAGTGTAATTACTCATACAGTTATTGTGATGATTGATGTTGAGGACTGTGTCCGGATGGACCAGTCAAGGATGAGTCAAAATGATGTGTCTGTTTCACGATCTTACTGGTCTTAGGCCAGGGCAACAGTAGGGTCTTGACAAATTGTTTTTGCGAACACAGTATTGGTTGGCTTACCCTAATCGCGGTCGCTTCGGCTGTGCACAGAATTTTTTGTCTCACCCCTTTTGATCGATTATATGCTACCCGGTAGATGACCCTAAATGCCCCCTTACGTGTCGGTTCGTGACCCGTGTCGAGTGCGTGGGCTAGGATGGCACTAGTCGCAATTTTATTAATCCCTTTTGATAGCCAAACTGGACAGTGTTCTTGAATCCTCTCTGACAATCGCCTAGTGATCCTTCCTAAGTATTCCGCTTCACAGGAGCACGAATAAGAGTACACACAAAATGAGGTAGACTGACTAGGCAACTTGTCTTTGAGTTGTAACTGCAGCATAGGCTTCGTAGTAAAGGAGAGACATAGTTTAGTAGCAACGTAAGTTCTTTCCTATAATAGCAAATGAGAAACTCAGCATATTCCCTGCTCTGAAAAATGTTTCATGGTGGACAAAAATCATTGAATCTGAGGTCGATGGCACACTGAATTTTTCGATATCGATAAAATAAGTCGAATTCGGAGGAACAGAACGTTGAACGACCAACTCACGGACTTCTGTAGCTTTTTTTCCTTTGAAATATAAACGCATTTTATTTCGTGTTATCTACGAAACCCACTAGATTGATCCAGTGTTTACGTCGAAGGTTGACGTGTGCCTTTTCCCTTCAACAGCCGTTAATCAACCAAAGAAGTTTTTTCCGAAAGAACGTTTAAAAGACCTGCATAAAACCCCTCAAAGTTGCCCGGGTAGATTATTGCCACCCTAAAAGATAATTACAGTCACTGGGTAGGACGCTTGAATATGGCATTTCACACAATTAAACTAATGTGATCGTTCCACACCTCACCAATAATTAATATGAAAGTGCAAGCTGACCTCCTTCGTACTAGTTTAGTTTATTGCGCACTATTCACAGATCATACGATTAGCCGTTTATCTCACAGAGCTATTTAGAACTAAATACGATGGTTACGCGACGGAAAACTGGCTCCATCTCTACGTGACACCAGATCATATTGTGGTCACTTGTAACGCAACCAGTCCAATGAGTGTTGTATTGAGCTCCGTCACTCGATTAAAGGTGGACCGTGTCTGGAGACTAAACACAGCTAAGACGGCCGCTGTTAGCTTACTAATACTGATTCTTGATATGCGAAAGTGATTGAGTAATATCTGATTGTCGTTAATTTGATCTAAATAGTACTACACAACACAAAATCATATATATA